AAAAAAAAGAGAAAAGAAAGAAAACAAACAGTTGGCCTGGCAGAGCTCATCTGTGATCCCTGCACTCTGGAGGTGGAAGGGGGAACTGGGCCTCCCTGCAGGAAATGTTAATTGGGAACGAAGGATATTTTATTTGTGAAGTTTCTTTTTCTACCACAGTATTTGCATCAAGCTCTGTTGGTGCCTAGTGCCATGAACCTGGGGGGTATTTCCCTCATGCTGTTACAAAAGGCTGGGAAAGGGAGAAACACTAACCCAAATAGCACTGTAAGCCACAATTCTGGCCACTGCACGCCAGTGACTTTCAGAAATGGGTTTAGCCCAGAGGTCGCAAACTGGTAGCAAGTTGGCTGCATCCAGCCCACAGATGGATTTTGTTTGCTCCACCGTATTGGCCCACACAGTGTTTTTTAAGGAACCAAAAATCTGTGGCCGGTACTAAAGATCAGAAGATTTTACATGAAAATCCCGTTTCCTAGTTTCTCTTACAGAGTAAAGATCTGATAACCCCCAGGGTCGTGTGTGCATGGAACTGCAGCCAGAGCCGCTGCCCCTAGCTCAAGGGAATTGAGTCCGGTGGAGAGCAACCCCTCCTAGCCTGCTGCTTTCATTGATCTGACCCGCATGGGCCCTGATGTCACCTGAGTTTGTTTGCAATATGAAGGAGATGCAGGCTGCAAAGAGCCCTCCTTATTGGGCTCTTCCTAAACCAATCCAAATGAGATGACATCATCACATCCCTGATAAAGTGAAGGCACGAGAAAGCAAAAGGATTCCAGAACTGGGGATGAGCGCTACTCAGCCTCATGAGGGCTTCTGCTCTAGGACACTCACTTCATTAATAAGCATGTCCACTTTTCTTATTTCATTTATTCCACCAACAAGCCTACCAGGAAGAAATTACTGTCAGACCAACTGAACCTGAGTGATGTTATAAAAGAGACGCACTGGAGACCATTCAGCTGGTTCGTTGCAATGTCTGGTGTGAACTCAATTGCATCCACAGTGATGAATGAACGCTGCTGCAAAGTCACACGATTCGATCCCACCTCAGGACCCTTGCACTCACTCTCCCTTCTGCTGGAACCACCCCAGCTGCATCTTACACTTTAACTCTATTTACATAATATCCATCGCATGATCATCTCCAGTAACACACTTGAGTGTACACGTACATACGTGTGAGCATGCACACGCATGAACACACATATACAGGCACTCTCTCACAGACACTAACACATTCCCACATCAGTGAACTTAAGCTTCAAGGAATCTCCAAGACTCTGTAGCAACAACGGCATCTAGTCCACAGGTATTAAGCATTTTTTAAGGAAAGAACTGAAGGGAAGCTGCTCTTTTCGTATGAATGAATGCCAAGGTGGTGGAGGCAAAGAAACAAAGCCACCTGCAACTGGGCAGATGCAGGTTCAATCTCAGCTAGGGAAGCCACCAAACCTAGGACCCTGAGCCAGTCACTTACCTCCAGGAATAAAGGAAATGCGGTCATAAAACGAAACCACTGCTGTTTCGCTCACAGCATAATCTCAACGCTGCAATGAATAACACATGTATAGAGTGCCAGCCGATACTATGGCTGGCGTTCCATAAATACCAGCATCTCCTGTCCTCAATATTCTCTCCAGACACCAGCTGAGAGTACTGCTGCCAACCACTGGGCCCTCTCCATTGGGGAGCAAAAGCTGGGCATCCTTCAGCATACAGCGGGTTTGGGGGTTACTTTACTTTCCCAATAGGACATAGGATCACAGAACATCACCTTGGATGGCTTCTAAAGCAAAAGGTTAGGGTTACTACCTATGTGAGTCCCAGAAGAGGCAAGTGTTCCTTGCCCTCTGTCAGTGTGATGAGTTCTGCAGTAGCAGCCAGGGGTCTGTTCCAAGGTCCCATCCCTTTGAAGGGTTCAAGGTCTCTGCCAGGACCACCGTTGCAGCTCATATAGAATTTGCATGTGCCTTTGCCCCTTTGGAGAGAGATAGAGAAAGGCAGAAGAGGAGGGCTTGATCCACCAGGCTTATTAACTATTTGGCTGGGTCAGTTCACCATGGAGGGAGGCTAAGCCTCTCCGCAGCCTGAACACACATACATCCTAATCCATTAGTCTGGTGCCGCCCTGAAAATCAAATGGACGTATTCTAATCTCCGATGCATTTTTACATTCCATTAGATCGACAGCATAGGTCCAAAAGAAAAAAGAAAAAAAAAAAAAACAAAAACCCAGATTTAGGGACAACTGGAGTGACACCACAGAAACGGACCTGCTAAGGCTGATTTGTTAGACAGGGGGGAAGCCCAAACCAGCTGCCTTGACAGCAGCCCCATTTTCATCTCAGCTCTTCTTGCTCAAGGCACAAAATCCAGGACCACTTGCCAAAACAGTGGTCAATGGGGAACACGTTTAAAACAATAAGGAAAAGAATAAATGGTTAAATGAATAAATAATGAAATTTTAAAGCTTTTAATGAACCTGTGCTTCTTCAGTGAAGCCAGACTGTAGACAGCGGACATGGCACAGGGAAGTTCAGGTCCCACAGGTTGAAGAGTACAGAGTTGCTCAGGGAACCAAGACAAAGGCTTTCTGCCTCTGGTTTGAATTGAAGCCACTATTCACGTTTCTACATTAAGATGTGGGCATCATCCCTTCTTTCTACATGGGAGAGAGGCTTAGGGCAAGCATGAAAAGGCAAGGCTAATGAAGTCTCACAAATGTCCTCAAAGCATGGCTGTCTCCAATGAGGCTGGGAAGCACACTGGGCCCCTGTGTGCCCCAGGAGCTTCCTGGAGTCTTTCCATCAGCCACGTCTCAGTGGCTAACAAATCCCTCTTTGTTGATAGCCACACACTTCCATGAAGCTCGCTCTTAAGAGACAGTAGTCCCCTCCATTCCAATGGGCACCATACGGCCCGGGGCAGGCCTCTGTGGCAAGAGGTTAAGGCTCAGGGATTGAGGAACAAGAGAAATCAAATGGTTCTCTCACCTAGGACCAAGTGGACCTTCTTCTAGACATGTCGTGTGTGTTTAGCAGTTCTACTAAGGGCTACCAAATAGGAGTACCAAGTCACACATGCCACAAGTATTGGTGGAGCTCAGGAGGCTGGGAGTATCACTCTACAGTATACCTCAGTAGCCACATTGTGACAGTAAGGTAGTTATGTATCCTCCCCTCCCAGCTACAGTGTAAAAGATTCTAAGATATCCATCGTCTGCTTTCCGTTCATATAGAAAACTCTCCAGATCCCAGGATGGGATTTCCTAGTTCAAGTGTTCCCCCATCAGCTTTATGCATCATCCAAATGAAGAACTCCTTTCTGTAGCTCTACTGCACCAAAGTCACCCAACACACACACTGCAAGCTTTGATCTTTATGCCTCTCTTAGAGGGCATATGACACTTCCCCCAAGATGCAGGGCTTTAAAATTAGAACCGAGAGGGGGTGAAGCCCACAGATACCCTCCTGTAGCTTAAGCCATTCCACAAAAGAAACCAGGACATGCCTGTAGCTAACCAGCAAACGACTGAGCCCTTCCCAGACATCTTCCCCTGTCTTTATTTTGCTGTTGTTGCATTAATCATCCTAACACCTTTTTAATTACAATCACAAACTGGAAGCCATGGCTTGTGATGTTATAAATGCGGATTTTTTCCAGTTAAATTAGGCACTTGCTGTTTTATGTTTTGATAGGAAGGGACTGTTTGAAGCCTCCTAAAATATCCCAATTAGTTCTTGCTGTTGAAACAGACAAGACATTAACAGACACATTCGCCGTCTCAGTGTGATGTGCTGGAATGTTTGTGCCTGGGTGTTCTTCTCCCCAGCTTCTAAATCACAAGGCAATTTAAAAAAAAAAGAAAGAAAGAAAGAAAGAAAAAGAAAAGAAAAGAAAGTGGGGGAAATCAATCACAGCACACATGCTTACTACATACTCCCAAAGTTACAGGCAAAACTTTTCCCAGGCTGCAATTTAAACCCAGAAAGCATGTCTCTCTGACAGGAAAGCAACCCCATCACAGGCCAATTTTACCTATTGGCTCTGTGGAACTGATAACATCGCTTCCGCTGACAAAGGCTGTGTTTCTGTTTGACAGTTGCAATTAATTATTGAAATGTGATCGAGATGGGGTCACCCATCCAGATCTGTTTCCCAGAAAGATACGAAGAGGGAGGGAGATGGTGCGCGCGAGAGAGGGGAGGTTTGCCTTTTGGGCATGTGCACCAATGCTGCTTTAATGTCATGGCTGGCAGGAAAGGTAGATTATTCGCTACCTTGACCTGCACTTAACTTTCTCCTGCTCCCTTCCTCCCACCAGCATCTGATGATGAGAAAGAGGTATATAACTCCCCGCAGAAGTAACTCCAATCTGTCTCCAAGGATGCTTAGATCAGAAAGGGCTCTGCGCAGGCAGGGCACGGCCACTTTTAGAGCATCAACTGGCATCTAGAAACCTAGGCTCCTTGTGCTAAACCAGACCAGTGTTCATTCAGCCAAGAGGGACAGAAAGTCACAGAGGTAGGAAATACCCCACCTTCACGAGAAAGCCAAAGCGCCTACACCTTTTAACTGTTCCTTTTGCTCTGACCTTAAAACACTGAAGTGGGATTCCAGCCACGCAAATGCTCTTGAGGGAGCATTTGATTGATTCCTGGGGATCTCAAAGCCCCGTCGTCAATTTAGCTCTTCTGTCTTATTCCCTGGCATGTTCCCAACCCAGAAGCTCAGAACCTTGTAGCAACCTGGTCTGGGAAACACCCTGCAGGCAGGCGGGAGAGCTGGGGATTCCCAGATTTTGGAGCCTGGTAGATCCCGAGGCACCTGCTCCTCCTCTCGCCCCAAAATAAAGTGATATTTTGGCTAGAGTCCTGCCCTCTCCTCCGCACCTGGACCCTGCACAACTCGGCCACGGTTCCCACCGCCCTCCCCCGGCTGCCTGGGCTACGGGCTCTCAGAACCCCTCACGCGTCCCGCGCGCCACAGCTTCCTACCTGTACCACTCCAGCCCCTTCTCGTAGTTCCTGTCGAAGAAGTGCGGCTCTACACCCACCGCCCGCACGTCCGGGTGGACACGGATAGCCTCGAGCAGCGCGCGTGTCCCTCCTTTCTTGACCCCGATGATCAACGCCTGGGGCAGCTTCTTCTCCCCGTAATCAGGGGTGCTGGCGGGGTCCCGCTCCGCGCTCGCATTGGTCGCCCTCGGGCCTGCCAGTTCCTCGGTGGCGCCCGGTTCCTGCGCCCCGCGCCCCAGCAGCGCACCCTGTGCTGTGACCGCGTCTCCTGGGGTCAGTGGGCTCCGGGACCAGACGTCCCGGGAGCCGCCGCCGCTCGCCAATCCCCAGCCGTCGGCCGCGGGTGCCGTGAAGCGCTCGGAGGGCTCGGGCGGCGGTCCGTGGCTCGCGTTGTCCGGCGGTGGAGAGGAGGCGCCGGGGCGCACGCGGGGTGGCGGTGGCGAGGAAGGTGGCGGGCTCGGCGGGGGCTCCGCGGCGGCTCCCGGGGTCTCCTGCAGCGCCAGCGGGAACTGCAGCGAGCCCGAGCCGCCCAGCAGGCTGTAGCACAGGTAGGTGACGGACAGGGACAGGGTACACATGAAGAGCAGCTTGCGCGCCGGCGGCCCTTTAGCGGAGGCGCCGGGCAGCGGCGGCGGCGGCGCGGCGAGCGGCGGCGGCGGCGGCGGAGGCGGAGGCGGTGAGGGCCACCGGGCCATCGCGGCTCCCGGCGAGCGGCGGCGGCGGCCCCCGGCGCTGCCCGGACATGGTTTCAGCCGCCGCCCCCGCCACCGCCGCCGCCGCCGCCCAGCCGCCCCGGCTGCATGGAGCGACGCCGCTGCGCCCCCGGCCCTGGCTGCCGTCCCGCTGCGCCGGGGACAAGCCCGGCCGCATGGCCCCCTCCCCGCGCGGGCCCCCGCCGCCCCCCTCAACCTCAGGCCAGAAGCCCGAGGGGGGCGCCGAGCCGCAGCGGCACCTGCTCCGTGCGCAACGCCAGGCTCTCCCCGTGCTGCTGCCGCTGCCGCTCCAGCAGCCCCGAGTTCCTTCCCCGCTGCTAACTTTCTGCTGGAGAGAGGACGGGCGCCGAGGGGCGGAGGCGAGGGGGCCGGGCGCGTGCCCGCCGCCGCCCCGGGAAGGAGGGGTGCGCCTCGCGCGTGCCTGCGGAGGGGGTGCGCGGGAGCGGAAGCGTGCGCCAAGGCTGGGGCGCCCAGGAGAGCTGAGATCTTGGCCCCCGCCAGCCGCCGCCAAGAGCGCGCAGAGGACCCTGCCCCGCCCTGGTTCTGCGCTCCCACGGGAGTCCTAGGTGCCGCGCACTCGCCAGCGCTAGACAGCGCTTGCCAGACTCATGGAAGGAATTGGAGCCCAGTGCCGGCCTGGCGCTGCCCTTCATTGGGAAGCTGCGCGAGGCTGGCAGTGGCTAGTTTCCCCCAGTCTCCTCTGGTGGGACTCTGAGCAAACTCAGCCCGTTGCTGATCCTCTCTTCCTTCTTTCCTGTCCTGCCTTGCTTTCTGGAGCAGTTCCTTCCTCACACCTTCCCCACCTCAACTTGCACCTCTCCAGTCTTGTCTTGAGGTTCATGATGGATGGCGCTTCAATGGACCCCAGAGGTTTCTCAGACTTTGGCCCCTGCCCCATCACCTGGTGGGAGATGGCGCAGTCCCCTACCAGGTCTCCTTAACTACAGGTGCACCCACCTGTGCCCTGTGGGAGGCACTGTGGCCTATGGGAGCTTGGGGTTTTTGAGCTGACACAGATGGGGGTCCCCACCCCTCCAAACACCTAATAAGCAGAGGGATGTCTGTGTGTCACCTCACTGAATATTTTTAGGTGCCTGTGCTCTGCAGAGAGATTTCCACCCCTGCACTCACTGGGTGGTATTGGACCCCGTTGGGAAATTCTACAGAGACTGTTTGCTGTTACCTTTAGCTTGGGAAAGCGGGGGCTGTGGGGAATGGAAGCTAGGATTCCGGGAGAGCCCATCCAGGGAGGCACTCTGGGGAACCCTTCTTCCTGGCTGCTAGGCACAGCTTGCTAGGTGCCCAGACTGTCAGCGTTCCCCTCTCCCGCTGGCGAAGCTGGCTTCTCCTGTTCTATTTGATCTCATAATGGAACAATAGTCGAAAGAAAATGTATATAATGTCTAAATATTAGCAAGATACCTAGTGCCAAAGAGAAGAAAAATGTTAATCAAATACGATGAAGAACGGGGCCTTTTCCCTGGGTGAACAAAAGCTCACTGCTGCTCTCAGCTGGACATGAGTTTTCTACACCGCAGCTTTAGTTCAGATAAAGATTATTCCTTTATAATATATTTTTGTGGCACACAGGAGACTCTGAAATGTGGAGTCTGGTGTCCTGTAAATCACTCCCTGTAACTAGGGATGCTTTTTCAACCACCACACAACTGCATTACTGTGATGTTAAGGGGAAGGGCCAGCTGAAGCTGCCAGAAACACTGGCTTCATCCAGTCCTCCTTCCGCTCCAAGCCCAGCTTTCAGGTTGTCAGCCAGGAAGTCTGGCTATCTGGTAATGTTATCTCTGCCTTGAGTTGGTCTCATTTTCCTAGGCAGGGCATGAGGATGCTCTAGCCAGCAATTTCCTGCTGTTGACCCCCATCTCTCTATCCAGGCTCTCAGCAGTCAAAACAGACCTGAGCTGTGGGCTGTTTTTACTAAAGATGTGCTCTCAGAGTTGGAAAGTTTTGGATTAAATGGTGTTAAAATGTAGCCCAGAAAGGGCAAACTGGTAGCAAGTATCTGGCATGCAGCAGAAGGAGGATGAGAAGCATTTAAATCAACTCCAACAGTTGAAAACCACAGACTTTCCCCTGAAGAATCAGTGCGCTCCCTGAAAAGTCTGAACACACAGCTAAAGCTGAGAACTCAGATCTAGAACTCCGGGCTTCAGTGAGACCCAAGCAGTTGCTGCCCCTCCAGAGGAGCCCGCAGGCTCCACTTTTCACGTATCTGTCTGGGTTGTGCCTGAACATACAGGATACTTATCTGGAGATAATCAGTAAGATTTCTCAGAATCCTCTCTTATGTATGCCCAAATAGCCACACTCAAAAGTGTGGCGTCTCATCGGTGAAACACCATGCCTAGGAAGTGATGGGGATGAGGCATGCACTCTTGGTGGTGGTGGATCTGAGGGCATGCGTGCGTGCGTTTGGTGGGGGAGAGGGGGGTTAGGGTTTTTTTTTTCATTCTGTTCCTTAGAGGGAAGCTCTGAGCGTTCCATACTGAGGTCCTTGTGTGCTTCACTCTACCACAGATGAAAGAGTTCCCTGAGAACATGTCGCTAAGAAACTTACAATAAAGAGATGCTCTCTAGGTAGAGAACACCAGCTCCAAGCTGCAATGCCCCCTGGGTCTGGAGACGAGAAGCAATATTGTTTTCTGTTTCTACTGCCGACACCCGTGCTCACTCGGGCCTATCTGGGTTTTCACAGTTTTCTCCCTATGCATCTCCAGGCCTCCAAACACCTCATTTCTATTCATCCTAAGCAGCAAGAGCAAGTGGATCAATGCTTCGGCGCAATGCTTCTTGCTTCTGCTAATGCCCTTTCTGGATCTTTCCCTACCTAGTAAACTCCAACCTCTTTTCTTAGAAGTCCCACCTTCCATGCACCCCACAGCTCTGCCAAGCAGGTGTGATCTCGGTACACGTGATGTGACTGTGTTCTGCTTCTGCACCTTCAGATGACAGAGTCAAGACACACCTGTCCGTTCCTAGCTAATGGCTTCCGAGAAGATCGTTTTTCATAGTTTCTATGTAGTTAAATAGAGGAAGATAAGAATCACCTGAAATTGTTTTTATAAAGGACTAAATTGAAATAGCCAACATGTGCTAAAGATACCTGGCTCTTTGCCTGGCATGTGGTGGCTAGCAATAATTACTTGGATCTAACTTTTGGCTCAGACCCTGCCTACTGTTTTTCCTTTTAAAAATGTTGTCCCTGCAAAACGTATATGTATCTTTGCCCCAAACCCAGCTTACCAAGTTCATGGAAGTTTAACTCCCTAAACTGCTCAGAACATGGCAGCTATGATACCAAGCCCAGTGCGTACAAACTATCTCTGAGATTCTTCAGTTATGGTTTTCTGAACATTTTAAGGAAAATTGCCAGAAGGATTTTTTTTGAGGATTTGTTTATTTGAAGGAATTTTTTTTGAAATAAAGAAATAAGCAAACATAGGCTTTAGGAACGTAAGCAGAATGCATAGTAGCCATTATTTCCCCAGGCACTGGCCAGTTTCCTTGTGGGAATATGGGAATATGATTTCTGTATTCCTTCCAGAGCATGTGGCTGTGGAATGTTCGAGCTACTGAGCAGAAGGAAGGAGGAAGCTTGGGAAGACACTGTCCTGCTGAGCAACTGTGGATGAAGGGGACGGAGTTCCTCGGGGAACTGAGAAATAATCCTGCTTATGTGTTAACTTGAAAGGCTTGGGTTTGGTCCTTACCACAGCTCAATATACACTGTCTGATGATTACAGTCTACATGCTAACTTTGATTTGCATTTCATTTGATCTAGCTAAGAAGGAATCTGTGTCAGAATACCTAGAGATAGCTGCACATGCATGACTTTTGCTGCCCTGTTCCCAACAGACAAGACAGGAAGACAGCCTTGGTGTCTAGCTGTAGATGATGAAGAACTAAATAAATCTGATGGATGAAATTATATCATTTTCAGGATAATGGAGGGAACTGAAGGCCATTGTGGTGAGTAAAATAAGCCAGAAAGACTGTATGACATCTTTCTTAGGCAGGAGCTATTTGATGTGTGTGCGTGCACCTACACATGTGTCTCTGTACATGACATGAAATGAAAAGTGTAATGAAAGACAGGTTTGTAAAATGAATACACACTAATAAACAGGTTGACAAAACCCCACACGTAGAATTAATTTATATGTGCTGACAAGAGTGTTTTATTCCTCAAGTATTAGAATTGTTTTGTAAATTAGAATAAACAAATTAGAAACTACAGCAATTTTTTAAATTTTTCAAGCAATAAACAAAACCCCTTTTCTCAAATACAGCATCAATGAAGATGCACATCTGGAAGTATCTGGAGGTAAATTGGGTAGACTCTGAGGCAAAACTAAAGTGATGAAAACAGGGGATGAGACATTGTTGGGCAAGAAGTAGAAGATCCGTACTGTAATATTGATGGCCAGGGACAGTCAGAGCCAGCTCTGGCAAAGAACTGGGAAATCTGGAACTACTAAAAAGTATCCTGTGACCAAATCTGGGGAACAGAATTAAGCAGTTGTCAAAAAGACGAGCGCTTCACCACTACATCTCAAAACAGAATAAACAAGGAAAGCAAATGATCTGACTGAGGAAGCTAGAAAAAAAGGTGTACTGGTTAGGGCTTTGTTTGTTGGGTTTGTTTCACTTACAGCTTATAGTCCATCCTCCAGGAAAGTCAGGATAGGAACTCAAGGCAGGAACAGATCCAGAGACCATTGAGGACTGCCCCTTGCTGGCTTGACCTCATGGATGCTCAGACTGATACAGATATAGATATAGATATAGATATAGATATAGATATAGATATAGATATAGATATAGATATAGATATAGATATAGATATAGATATAGATATAGATATAGATATAGATATAGATATAGATATAGATATAGATATAGATATAGATATAGATATAGATATAGATATAGATATAGATATAGATATAGATATAGATATAGA